CGCTTTCCAGCCAAAGTAGATGAGCCCATGCTACAACGTTTCTATCCATCTGTCACACCTTTCTACGAGCGAGTTGTTACGGAAATGCTAGCAATGGTTACAGACCATCCTCTTCGGGGACCATATCATTTGAGGAACAAAACGCACGATGGTCATGGTTCAAGTTGCCAAGAAAACACGATGGCTTGTCAAGTTCTTCAAGGTAGACTACATCACTTCTCATCCCTAGAGGCTCTGCTCTAGTTTCCGACATAGACAGCGACCAGAAGGCCTCCCGAATAAGGAACCGTCGACATCTTGAATCCATTGGCAGGGTCCTCAAGGTAAGCCACCAAATCCGTATATCCCGTCTTGGCCGCTATGTTGTTGTCGGCAACAACTGTAGCACCTGGTCTCATGCGCGGGTGAACCAGCTTGAGCGTAGGTAGTGCCAAGGGAGTCCATACTATAAAACGTTAAACATGCTACAACTCATGAGAATTATTGAGCATAAAAAACAACTTACTATCAAGCAACAGAAAGTCGATCTGCTCCGGTAGGTCTGTTTTCAGCGTCTCTCGCAAATCACCTTCTCTCAATTCGATAAACTTCTCAATATCATCACCAGCAGCGCCCCAGTGCTCTCGAGCCCGAACCGCCTTTGTCGCCTCGTTCTCAGTAGCAATCACCTTTCCAGGCTTCGAACCGGCATTCTGGGCCACCGCGAGGGCTAGGTATATGGTGCTCACACCAAACGATGTTCCCGCCTCGACGACGAAGCGAGCCTGCATAGACCGCAGGAGAAGGTAGACAAACGCGCACTTGTCAGGGTCCAAGGCGACAAACTTGTCAAGAGCTGTTGAGGCCGGACCGTCTGTGCTCACATATGGTGGCTCGTCAAGTGCTTGCTTGTGAAGATCTCGGAGAAGGTCCAAAGTGCGGGGAGAGGCGACTATGGAGTCCAAGGTTGTTTCGATTGCGGAATAGTCGGGCATTTTGGTGTCGTGACTATCAGTAGGTTGATGAGAACTGATTGGAAATTGTAGACAATAAACACTGTTGAAGGTCCAAACGTTACTCTTATGCTCAGGCTAAACCCCGCGAGTTGGTGCAAGTCGCATGTTGGAGGCGCCGATGCCGATGCCGAAGCCGATCCATGCATGGGACATGACTCAAAGTGGAACCTCTCGGGAGAAGGAGAGAGATTCCCCGCGTCTTGTCATGATCCTGGAGATCCGTCTAGGACCGTAGGAGCATTGCATGCATTACTGGTCTTAGCACGCAAGGATGCATATTCTAGGCGGGTCGGCTCGCCTTGAACGACTGAAGAGACCAGTCCCATAAAACATTAGGCAAACCAAAGAACACTTGGCAATAGATCAGATGTCAAGTGTCTGCTGGAGGTCTTACTAGTCAAGAGATCCTATTGGCTTCACCACTTCTTGATCATGGCTCTTGTGACGGATCTGGTGCCAATGCCCAATCCACGAATACTCTCTGGTTGACTGAGAAGGCAAGTGTAAAGATCATCAACAAGCACCAATACTGCAGTGTGACAGAGGATAGAAGATAGCCAATGACCTACATGTTAGTAAATCATCTAGCTAAGTGACTATGCAACTTCACAGAATTGCCAAAGATATTCCTTGGTCCAGCATAACCTCCAACCAGGATACTTCAATCCCCAGGTCTCTTAATTTCCAGACTTCTCTCACAAGTTCCAACCCACGAGTGTACGTCTGAATACGAGTCCATCTCGCCAGCCTCTGGAACAATGTTTCCACCAAGGCTCTCTCCTCTACAAACGTCGCAGGCAGCTCAGGACCGGTGATGACAAGCAACGGTCCCACCCAGTTGAGCAAAGGATCCTCGTCGGGAACATACCTCAACGTTTTCATAACTTCAAGCACCATCTCCATCAAACACGAACCCTCAGAGGTCCCTTGGCCTTGCGTGGCGTTGGCCTGGTATAGTATGATGAGACCGATACTGCGATATCCTTCAGCCAGCTGTAGGAGCCGTTCCTGGTTAAGCGCGGCCTCGAGGGGTTCCCAGTCACGCAAACGTTTTTCCAGGTCTCGGTAGGTCGACATGAACGTGTATCCTGAATCGAGAACTCGGCGGAAATACTGGCCTGCCTCTGAAATGAGGGGGCAGAGAGTGCTCGAGACACCGGCGACGGGGTGAATGAGAGAATCGAATGGCTGACTTTGAACTGCTCTGAGAACTGAAGCGGTAGACGGATATGGACTCCCAGTAGGCACCAAGAAGGATGAGAAGGCTTCGCAGCATAGGTATAAGCCAAAGAGATAAAATGTGAAAGGATCAGTCGGCGACGCATTGGTTAGAGACTCGACGGTATTGCTGATGCCGCTGAGGAAGACAATGCCAGAGTCTTTTCCAGACGGATCCAGCCAAGCTGAAGAAATAAACAGTATCAGAGAAGAGAGTATTGTGGTGCGAAGGAGGGTCTGGTGTTTTGTTTGTGACGATGGCAACCGATCAATCTCCTTCCGGAGGGAAGAGATGGCCAAACTCCTGGTTTGAAGAGCAGACGACAACTTGTCTGGAAGGAAATGCTGTCAATGGGCCTCTGAAACGCTCTCCAGTGTATTTCTTAGAGCTTTAGAGTGCCGCAACCAGCCAGAAAGAGTATGCGAGAGGGGATTCGCGGGCGGGTAGAAGATGGCCATACTAAGACAGGCGCTGTCGTACCAATGCCTGAGAGTGTCGTTTTCAAGAGCGCTAGGAGCCGAGGGGGCACGCTCCTGAGATATCCAAGGCCTTTCTATCTGCCAGACATCTTGGCTAAAGTTGCCGGTGCATGTCTCGTGACGGAGTTGGCAGCGTGTGCACACTGGTCGTTTCTCATCGCACTTGACCTTGCGGCGTTTACACTGCTCGCACCCGCTGCGAGACTTGGTCCGATTCTGTTTTGATGGGGGCATGGCTTGAATGATATAGATCCGAAAAGGTGAAGTTAAGAGTGATGGCGTGGATGAGGAGAGGAGTTGGTTCGGCCGGAGTATCGGGGCGGGGTGGAAGGAAGCCGGCCAGCTAGCGCCGTGACCTCCGATCAAGTACTACTGTAACTTAGGTTCATAAAGAAGACAATGTCGTGGAAGCCTTTTTATTGGTTTTCTATCATCGTTATCTCTTGATATTTGTGAACAACGGTAGGCAGACAGCGATAAGAGGCAGAAATGTCACCAACATCCTTCTACTCTGACACACAGCTCGACATGGGCCTGGGTCTCTACACCAGCCCGTGTTATTGAACGCCGCCGTGAGAGACATACTCGCTCATTCACACATTCCCTCACTCTTTGGATATAAAACTCTCAGGGCAGGCGGCACTTTGTTCCTTATTTCAAGACAGTTGAAAGACCAGGTTGTCTTGCACCACTATCCTAAAGCTAAGCTGAACCTCTAATCCTGCGTATTCCAGGTATATTTAGTTCTTGAATCCCGGAGAACTGAACCTCCGCACAGGGAAGACTCCTGCTCCTCCTCCCTATCCTTAAGCTCTGTCCATTCAGCCCCGACCTTGTGAATTCGGACATCCTCATAGTGCCGGCCGATCAGATGGGGCAAGTATGCCTCGCCCACGCCGAGCTCATCCACCGCAACGACGGTATAGTCGGCTCGGCCGGCGGTGTACTTGAATTCGCTAACGTCTAGGATAGGGATGCTGTGGAGAGGGTCGGCAGTAGTGCCCCGGATAGTCAAACGGCCCTCACCAACAGAGTGGTGGACATCGTGCTCTCGAACCTCGAGGGTGCTGATGAGAGGCTCCCACTGAAGACCCTTGCCCTGGGAATGGGGGTACGCCTTTATCTCAAAGTTGATCGCGTCCCGGACGCGGGGAGGGAGGTCCTCGCCAAACTTTGCCTGAACCTCGATGAGACGGACGCCGTTTCGCTCAGCGTAGGCATAGCGCCAGTCCCCAGATCGCCAGAGACGGCATTTACCAGTCTTTTTAGCCTCGCCCCAGACCTCACGGCCCCAGGTGACGGGGAGATCATTGCTGATGATGATCTCGAGCATGAATGTACCAGCCTTGCCGCGGAACTTGACATCTAAGCTCACAATAGCGCAGTCAAATTCGCCGCACAACTTGCTCTCCATAGTAGACATGAGGATGTGACCCGTAGGAGTGTCGCCTGGCTCTAGGCCTGGGGGAAGAACACTGCGGACATATTCGGGGGTGGTGGTGAAGTCGATCTCGATGGCCTCCTGAGAGAAGGAGGGTTTGGAGGAGAACTCCTCAAAGGCGCGGACCTGTTCCGGGGAGGCAACAAAAGACATGATTGACTTCTTTTTTTTTATTCACTTGGTGTGAGTTAAGGTGGCAGGCGAAAGACTTGCTTGTAAGTGACCAAGTTGTGTGTCAAAGCATGGGCAACAACCATGATCATTCAACTTGGGCTTCTTATACCCAGACTATAGACATTAATGTCCATTATGAAATGGCCTGTTTTCTTGACTATTATGGAAAATTTGCGAGGTCATCTAATCTCTCCCATGACATCCGCCGTCGACCCTCTCATGATGCCGACCCATGGGGATGGGGCCCAGAGTCTTGACCCAATTTGGCCAATGTGCGAGGTGACAGACACTTGGGCCCAGGCTTATCGCGATTCGGTAGTTTCCAACTAATCCCGGGAGCCAATATGATTTGCCATGTAACCTTGTCATTGCGTGGTTGCTGACTATCTGTTTGACCCGGCCAGTCGGACCCTGGACGGGACGGATGGATTCTACTCCAGGTTTTCCCCAGCCTTAGGCAGGTACTTGCTATCACAGATCCGGTCATGATAGCGGCAGGGGAGCCTCTGTCCTAGATAGTTTACTTAATAGTTCTAGTCCATAGGTAGATCGAGGTTTGACACTTGAATAAGAAGACGGCGGTCAGTCATCCTTCTTGGCTTCAACTGCAAACGTTCACTACACATTTCTCATTCCTCTCCATCTCTTAATTCACTTCTTCCTGGCTGAGTATCCTCAAGTGGCAGAACATCATGGATGTAGAAACTCCCACCAAAGAACACAAGGGCCGACAGCTCGACCAGCTTCAGCGGTCACCCAGCATGTCCATCATGGACGGGCAACATCGTAATATCCACGAGAATCCCTTTACCGTTTGGACAGCCATGGGTATTTGCCATTCCATCACCAACACTGCCATCACCCTCATCGTGGGTCTGGCCAGTGGTGTTTCCCTCGGTGGTCCACCGCTCTTCATCTACGGCTTCATCATCATGGCGATCATTGCCATCGCCGTTTCCATAAGCCTGAGAGAGCTTACCTCGGCTCTACCTCACTCGAGAGGTCAATACTACTGGGTTGCCGTCTTGGCTCCCCCAAGCTGTCGACGCTTTCTCTCCTATGTCACTGGGTGGGCTGGGGCTGTATGCACCTGTGCCTCAGTCTGTCTCGCGGTTCCGACCACCATCTTCGCCATGGTGTCTTTGACACACCCCGACTTTGAATACAAGCCATGGATGGGATTTGTCGGGTTTCAAGTCCTGAACCTCTTGGCTTTTTCATTCAACTGTTTCGAACGCGTCCTCCCTTGGGTCAGCCGCTTCCTCCTTGTCTTTACCGTCTGCACCGTCACCGTCGTCTTTGTTAGCATCTTGGCCGCGAACCCCCACAAGCAGACAGGCAAAGGTCTCTTTGTCAACTTGTATAACATCTCAGGATGGCCCAACGGTGTGGCTTTCCTGATCGGCCTCAATGCCCCCAACTGGGCCTTCTCCTGCCTCGACGCCACGGTGCATCTCGCCGACGAGATCCCCAACCCTCGACGGAATATACCCAAAGCCCTGCTTGTCACAGTAGCTCTAGGCACGGCGACCGGTTTCCCCATCATTCTCGCACTGTTCCTCTCGGCCCCTTCTGTCGAAACCATTGTCAACTCTGCGACGCCTTCGCTACAGATATTCTATGATGCGTTCAGTCAGAACACGGCAGCGGCCTTGGGTCTGCAGAGCATCGTCTTGATTTCCGCAGCTGGTGCCATCATTGGTATTCACACTTGGCAATCCTGCATCGCCTGGGCATTCAGCAAGGACAAGGGATTTCCATTCCACCGCTTCCTCTCCCAGGCTGCTCCTGAACCATACGGTACTCCTATCTACGCCCATATCTGGTCCTGCTGCTGGACTGCCGTACTTGGATGTATCTACATGAGTTCGCAGCTTGCCTTCAACTCCCTAGTGTCCGGCGGTATTCTTCTTCAGTACATCACCTACTCGGCATGCATCGCATGCCTCTTGTGGCACGGCCGGTCAAAATTACGCCCGGTCCTTTTTGGTTCCCCAAGCTTGGCTTGGTTGCCAACATTGTCGTTTTGACTTGGACCTTGATCACGCTCGTTTTCTATTGTTTTCCTTCGTTCATCCCGGTTCAAGCAGACTTCGTGAACTACGTGTCTTGTGTCATCGTTGGTGTTTTTATCTATGCCCTGGTGTATTGGGTCCCGTTTGGTCGCAAAGAGTACCAGACTCCAGAGCCGGAGCAGTATGATTGAGCTTGAGGACGAGGCGCCAAGGATTGTGTTGAATTTCCATCTTTGCTTAGTCAAGTACTTTGGAAGTTTACTATTCATTCTTAATTAGCGTCCCTTTATCTAGCATTAGGATCTTGTATATCTGCTGAACAGAGCACGGTTCACAGTTGAGCATTACAACGAAGTTCAAAGGGGGAAGTATTCGTCTACCAAAGGAAGTACGTACCTAAACGGGCTATTTTATCAACATAGGTACAGTGTCAGCATCTCCAGGGGTCAAGTTCTGGAGAACAGTGTCTGATGCCTAACCTGCACCTTTGAAGAACCGAGTAGAGGCATCGATATAATTAATAGAGAAATTAAGTACTCCTCCTTCAACCAATAGTTCAGATCAAAATCATCCTATCCCATAAATGCGCCCGATGCATCACCATTCGAGTAACCAGCAATCGTAGTACCTCCATCAATCGCCAGAATAGACCCAGTCATGAACTCTGCACGCTCAGAAAGCAAAAAGCAGACCAACTCTGCCACGTCTATAGACTTGCCCATTTTGCCTGAGGGCTGAGTCGCGTGAGCCAGCTCATCGGTAGACAAACCGAGGTGGCTCAGCATGGGCGTGTCGATGTTCCCGGGCGCCACGGCATTGACACGGATGCCTCTCCTTGCATATTCGAGCGCTGCCGTCTTGGTGAGGCCGTTGACTGCGTGCTTGGAGGCGACGTAACCTGCACATCCTACCGTTCCAATGGTACCTGCATCTGACGAAAGGTTGACGATGGACCCTGGCACCCCAAGCTCGAGAAAAGCTCGAATCTCTTGCTGCATACAGTGAAATACCCCGAGTGCGACAACCACCACCGTGGACCTGATCAACAAAGAAGCACGAGGCAAAGCCATCTTTGTCCGGACCGGCGTCTCCTCTTCCGATGATCCACGGGCGATTGAGGATGGATCATCAATATTGCATCCGTCTACGGCCTGAAGCCCGAGATTGAACATAGTTGGTACATACAACCATGTATCCATCCAGTCACTGACTCTTCTGTCCAATAGTCTCTTACTCTACCTCCAAAGTGGCCGTGGTTCATATGACCAAGTGCGTCGCCCGCGAGTACGGCCACTCCAAGATTCACGTTAACGCCATCTGCCCCGGCTATAAGTCACCGCATCTCTGAATGTCTGTTCGTGGCTAATTCGACGAGTTTTGTGCAGTCGTCAAGACAGAAATGGATCGTGTTATGCTTGAAGATGAGGTTCTGGGTGCTGCTACCGTTGCTCTCCACCCCTGGGGATCATTGGGAGCTGTTGACGACTTGGCCAAGGCGGCTTGCTTTCTAGCTAGCGATCAGGCGGCATGGATCACAGGTGTTGCGTTGCTGGTCGATGGTGGCTATGTGACAGCGTAAAAACCAAATGTTTGACACTCTGGGTGTCTAGTTGATAGTACCACCCACATGCCTCCTCAGATACACAGCAGTACAAGACGGCTAATAGCGGAAGTGGTCTTTTGATTAGTCAAAATAGTTCTTTTTCAAGTTGTTGGTCATTCTTGTTAGTGGCATCTCAGTGTTGACAACACTTGAATGATTTGATTGAATGCTTGATCCATTGATTCTTCGAAATTTTCCGACGTTCGAGAAGAAATGTGAACCATGAAATTGCCGAGAGCTGTCAATTACGAGCGAGACATTAAGGTCTGTCATATTTGCTCTGGTGGGTGGTGGGCTGAACAAAGACGGGAGCATCAATGGGGGCGAGATGGCTTGCCGCCAAAGCTCGTCCTGGAAGTCGGTCCTTGCTCAAACAAGCTCCTCGGAGGTAACAACGATGAACTACACGCCAAAATGCTGTATTAGGCTGGATCAAAGGGTTGGCACCGAGTTCAAGGCATTATCGGTTTCATCTGTCGTCTGCACCATCTGCCCACAAGCCGCAAGTCATGGCCGAGGCAAACCAAACCCTGCCTTTACGAGCGCAGTTGCACCAAGGGGCAGTTTTATCATGACCTGGAAATGTCAAGCTATGACCACGAGCCACAAGGGGATTGTTTCTCCCGCACTTTTGCATGTCAAGGAGCCATGCTTTGTCCTGAACGCCATCCTCCTGACATGGTTTTAGCGGGCGGCATGTAAAACAAAAGCTAGAAAAGAAGCGGTTTCGAGTATGATTTGGAATGGTTGGCAGATGGCAGATGTTTGGATTGGATGCTTCGTAATTGAAGTGCGCGGCGTTAGAGAAGCTCGACACTAGGTCACGCAGCGGGTCACGTGTACCCCCCTGGTCTCACCATCCCTCCAAACCGTGGATCTCATGAGCCAGGTAGCCGGCTCGGCACGGGGGGGAAATTCGCGTGGCCATATCTTGGGCCCTGCAGCAGCACATTGTGCTATGCGTTCCGTGAGTGATGGATTTTGGCACAGGGGGCCCTGGCGCCAAGTGAGTCGAGATGAGACAGCAGAATTATGCGACGAGATCTGGACCGTCATGGAGTCTCTTGTTTATAGATGCTATTACCTCCGGGTTTCATCAAGTGACATTGAAACAGATGCGATTTTTGATCGGGGGAAAAGGTTTTACCTCCATCGGGCTGGATAAGACGGCATCGTATTTTGACTTAACGTTAAGGGAGGAAGGTATGCTTAAAACACCCTGGGACGGTCCTTCCGTTAATCATCTTCACACAGCTTAGTAACATGCCGTGATGCGAGTCAAACAGCCGGGCCCTGATCAATGAAATACTAACCTCTCCTTAACAACCTCACCTCCTTAGCAAAAAGAGGTTATTCGCAAGCCTGCGCATGGTTCAACGTTCCTCCCACAAGCCGAACCGAAGTCTTCGCTTCTTGTTTCGCCCGTGCAGACCCCGTCCTCTGCCTCACATCACGCATGACGAAAATATCCGTCCAAGGGTCAGGGTCAGGGCCAGGGCACAATAAACCCCCTGCCAACCGTCTCGTTAAAGAAGGTCGCTTTCTTGATCCAGGACCATTTCCGCCAACCCCCATGCTTCCAGGCGGTCTTGGTCAAGAGCCACACCAGAATTCGATACAACGCCTTCGATCCCCGGCCTTGTTCGAGACAAGCATGGCCCGTGACCTGCAGAACACCCCGACCAGCCGGGGCTATCGGAGCCCCCCGCAATGCTTCCTCGTCTGTTGTGGCCGGCTTTGGAAGCCAGTTCTGGACGGACAAAACAACCCCCGGTTGTTTCCAACGGTGAGAGACCCAGGGCCTGTCGTTCAAGGGGCTTGAAGCTGAGTGAGATCCTGGCAGGCGACGGGAGATGCAGAATTTTTCCCGACACGCAACAAACGAAACAGAAACCTTTCAAATGTATCACCATGATTTAGACGACAGACGAGCCAAATTGTTAGCCCGAGAAAAAGATTGCAATTCGGATCGGCATGAATAAGGCATGTTTGGGAGATCAGGCGCCACGCGGCGAGGGTTCACGGGAGCCAACCAAATCCATTTGTGCCTGGCAGCTCCAGACGCCAGAGCAAAAGCCCAGTGTCACTGGTTTCAAAACTCGGCCGGGCAGTTACAGGGGCACCAAGCGCCGATTCTTGGGCTGGTTTCCAATGAGTGGAACCTCCGCGTCGAGGTGACATTGGGATGTGGCGGCCGCCAACGAGTTTGCGCCTCTACCAGAGGCCCAAGAGATGCCAAGGTCTCTCAAACAAGGGGCTTGACGGTTCTGCTGCCGTTGCCAATGACGCAGGCTGCATATCTTTGATTGCATCCCAGGGACCGACCCGATCGACACGGTTTTGTACCCAAATTCGGTCTGGGGGGCTGATGGACGCTGGGTTTCGATTCAGCTACCGCATGAAGTGGGAAATAACTACGGGATGCCGAGGGAGAATCACAGATCTTGAGCCTTGAGTTTGCCGCCCTTTCGATCGAAAGGAAAGTCGTCGGCAACAGAGTTTTGACGCGCGGGCATCTGGTTGAGACACTGACGAAGCCGGATTAGCCCCATCTTATTGGCGGCAATGGGCCTGGTACCGCGGTTGTGGGTAACAAAAACAGCTTCTCTCACCCAACGCTTTGCCAGCTGACGACGGCCAAGTACGGGGACACGAACCCATCAGCTGGTACTGCCGTCATGTTCCCCAAGGGATCTGAGAAACAGCAATCAGACGCGGCGGGCCAATCAGTCGATGCTGCGGCTAGGCGCTCATACAATAACAGACACGGCCAACACCGTCATAAAGCAGGAATGGTTTCGACGCGATTCACCAAGCAAAGCAAGGGAAGCGTTCAAGTTTCGACTGCAACCTCTTGTGCCGGAGGTTACGATTCAAGTACAGTACAAGAGCAAAGGGGCTCTTGGGCAGTTTGACTTGGCAGAGACTCTCCGACCATGGTCGCACGCTCTTCTGCGCTAAACATGGTCGAGCCCCTGTCCCTGACACCGAAGCCCTGGATCCACGACCCCTAGCGTTAGCGGCGCCACTGCCAGACGTTGGCCGTCGTCCCCCGCGGGCGCCATGCATCCAATGCATCTTGCGGCTCTCCTGGCCCTGGACCTGGTTCAGATGCCACCAGTCAGAAGCCAGCTTCGCGCCCAAATGCCATTGTTCGATTTCTCCTATTAAATCCACGCCTGCCCGCGCATCTACAGCTGCTGGACGGCCATTCTCATTCTATTGTTCTTGTTCGGGTTCCTATTCTGGAAGACGTCTCCTTTTGTCTTTCAATTACTTTCTTGTTCATCATTTTCCCTTCCCTTGTTTCTATCTCACTCTCTGATATTTCCCTTTTCGGATTTGTGCTGCTAGACAGTTTCTTAATCACCCTCCTTTGACTGTTCCCGAACAGTGCATCGCGCACCTACTT